CTACCAAGTAGTCATGAAAATATACATAATTTTACTTAGGCTGCACGTAATCGTTACAACCATTACGGTTTATTCAAAGTTTCCGGAAGAAGCACATTTATATTACTGGAAATATTTGGATCTACTTCCGGGATTTAATGTATATAACTGTTAGTTGGTGAATTTATTTGCTGATTTAAAAAATACTTTACGCAAGTAAAATACAATCAGATAATACGTGTAGATATTATGCAAAAAAGTTGTCAGTTCTATGACCCTTCTGTAAAAATGCTAACTCTCAGGTTTACTTATTCATTGCATGATGTAAAGAAGAGTAAAGTCTGATAAGTGCGCTACTGAACTGAAAAGTAAGCGGGTATGTTCAGAAATATGTCATAATAAAATAATTGTAAAGATGTGGCAATAACAAAAATAAGCAAACAACACGTGGAAATTGAAATTAGTATCATAAATTAATAAAAGAGCTATATTTTAAGGAAATGAACCTATATTTCGGCATTTACGGTGCATTTTTGAATTCGCAACCAAACCAGAATTCATAATAAATCGAATAAACCCAAAGTTTGCAATGAGCGTTGATGAAACATGTCGCCTCGTAATCAATCGATGCAATCTGTGATAACACAATTTAACACAATTTAACCAAAACTCAATCATAACTGCCAAGACCTCAAAAGATCGCTTTGTAAGATTTAAACACCCTTTTACCAGAACAGCTAATAGGCTTAAAACAGCCCATAATTAAGCCGTAATTAACAATTTCGCTAAATGGTGGCTATAGTTTAAGTTAGCTTTTTGAAGTACTGTTTAGTTTAATGAGATTCACGAAGTATGTAGATTAATGGTAGTTCTGCAAAATATAAAGCACTCTGAGCTAACCGTAATCAATTAAGCAGAAAGTAAGACTAATTTTATGTTTAGTAATTAATCCTTCAAAATTAGAATACCTTGAACTAATTATAATTAGCTAGGCAAAGAGTAAGAGTAAGCAAAAATAATTTACCGAATAACATTGCTAATTAAGTGTAGTCGAGAATGAGCAAATGATAATAAAATTACTTATCAAATTGATAGAAAAAGAAACATTGAGGAGAATAACAAAAAGTACTTCTGATTTTCATTTTTGGTTCTCACAGAAATGTAACAACAGATTAATAGTTATGCAAGAGTAACTGGGAATTTTCATGTTAGTGGAAATAACTGGGAATTCTTTTGTAATATTTCAGAATGGAAAAAGGCACGGTGGATGAAAATTGTGAAATATTTGCTGCATATTTTGGTACCATCGAAATTCGACATAATGTTACGAAGTCGCGAGTTACCCTGCGAAATTACCTTCTTCAGAAGATCTCTCAATTCCAGGTAGATGGTACAATTAAGGACCTATGTCACACCCATAATTACATTTTCGCCTTAGCACTATCGCATCATCGTCTTTATATCCTTCGAATAGATTCGTTTTTCGTTTATTCCCTCAATTTAAATGCTATTCCGGAAAATCCCAAATTTGAACATCTCGTAAATGTCATTGTGGAAACGGAACCAATGCATGAAAAAGTGGATTCTAATGATAGCCAAATACCAGAATTAGCCCACTGCGAAATACAACAATCTGAAGAGAGGATAAAATCAAAGTTAAGCCAAGCTGAAGATTTCCTCATTTGTGCTACAAGTCGATCATGTTTTTTGGCAAGAAATAGGGTTCCCTGTGAACCATCTTTGTATCGAATTTTCACCGACAACAAGACCGATGATTTCCAACTACTGCAATTTGGGTCCGTTGAACCTATTCGACAGCTTTCTGCTGGTAACGATCACATATTAATTTTAACTGTGAATGGTATGGTTTATAGTATGGGTACAGGAAGCCGAGGTGAACTTGGCCATTGTAATTTGAAATGTGAACAACATCCAAAGATAGTGGAATGTTTGACACCTTTGACGGTAATTAAAGTGGCATGCGGCAGATGGCACAGTGCTGCGTTGACCGATGATGGTGATGTATATCTATGGGGATGGAATAATTTCGGACAGCTTGGTGATTGCTGTGAAATTGGTGAAATTCTGGATGTACCTACACCGTTGGACATCCTTGAAATTATAGTGGATATTGCCGCCCATGGTAATGGTACTTGGTTAAGGCGAGCTGATCATCGGGTGCTCACTCTTGGCAGTACTACTATGATTTGAGTTTTTCGATTCTCTAAAGACTTTCTTTTGTTTTGAAGAATTTTTGTTTGAATTTTCAAATTTTTTGCTTTTCAGTCCACATTTTCTCACTTTTCTTTCGGAGATTGAAGTGCGCAGATTTTCCATGTTAAATGATCATAATGTTTAGAAATGCTTTGTTTAGCTGGAATGATAATCAGATACTCACATTGGCTCCATTATTATGACCTGAATTTTTTCAGTCAAATGGTAGTTTTGAATCTTTTTTTTTGTATTTCCAAGTGCTGTTCTGGTTTTTTTTTAGATCTTATTTGCAGAAGCTTTAGGCTTAATAAATTTTAAAAAGGAAGAGAACAAGGTGAAAAGTGTTGCATGAATATATTTGGATGAAAAATTTACGGATAAATATTATTTACCGTATAAAAAAAAGATTATTGGGTAGGAAGATAAACGGAAACACTGCAGATTAGAAATAAGACCATGCTCTGCACTTTTTCAAAACATTGTTGAAATCAACAAAGTTTAACCTGAAATATATTGACGAATTGCTAAACATCGAATACGTCTTAAAATGTTTCATTTTACTCTGAATTTCTAATGTATTTTTTACAAGAGTTGCAAATATGCCTTTTATTCATGTTATTATTCACTTCATTACGCTGCGTAATCTGATATGCTTATTGTGTAATTTTTAAATTTGAAATTTAATCGAGTTCACAGTTTGCAACACTCTGTTCAACTTCCAGCATTATTTATTATGTTATGGGATGACAATAGTTCTAGCAGTTCAGCGCGATTTCTTGATTTGAAAATCATCATAGGCGGCGGAATTAGTCAATAGGTTAAACTGAAATTGATAAACAAATATTTGTTACAGGCGTTTCAGACATTATTGTCGTTTTATCATATGAATTGTCGTGCTAAGAAGGTGTACGGTAATATTCAATGCAATTCACATGATGAAAGCGTAAGTTATAGGGAAAGAAAGAGTTTGAATTAATTGTCTAAAATATCTGATTAGTGTGTGTTAAAATTTTGGGAATCAGTATGCTCGGTAGCTGTACCATCAATTTGCTCAAAGGATATATTTCTAGCGGCTTTTGCGTTCTTTTTTACTATAAATTTCCTAGGTTGTTTCTTCAAAGTTAATTAATATTATTGAATTATTACTCTTCAATTCAAAGTTTTCAAGTGTTAATTGTAGACAGCATTCGATTGCTCAAGTCCAGATGCCCAAAATACCGTTTATTGCTTTCTGGGTTCAACTGAAGTTGACAGCAAGGATGTTGATAATATCGGAGCTGTTCGTCGGTTATGTGGCAGCCGACGTCGAAGCATAGTATTTTGCCGAGCATGTGGTCTTTTCAGAGTATTTCTTTTTAAAATATGTTTTAATGTCAGTTAAATGGTTACATGTTTATCCTTTTTTTGAAGTGGAGCATAAAAAATTAAGAAGAGCTCGCTATAATGATTAAAAAGAAAAGAAACACAATAAGAAAAAAATTAAATTAGAATGAGACAAATGTGTTGCACACTTGGCTGTTCGATTATTTCCAGACAGTTTTTTTTTGAATGTTTCTTTTATCTATCTTATTTGAGAGTATTTATTGCAGTTTGGTAGATGGCTCACTCCCAAGGAAAAGCGGACTAAGCTATGGGTTGCTAATTTATTCGTTTGGCAGCACACTACTGGCAAATTGAATGAAAAGAAAAATTGGCTTTTTTATAAGTTGTCAAATTTAAAGTGAGTTACCATTAGTTTTGAAATTTCTATGTTCAAAAAAGTAATAGTTTGTAATATAGTTTGTTTGGTTGCATGATATTTGGCCTCTAGAATTTCAAAATTACTTAGCACTAATGCGCAGAAGTTTCATATGACTTATACAATATGCGGTTCACGCAATTTCAAATCGTTAATCATAGCTGAGGCAAACCGTAGTTGGGATTACTGCAAATTTATCATGAAGTTTATGATAAGAAAGCCAAGGGTTATACCGATGACCGTAGATGAAAAAGTAGGGAGCGGATATGAGTTATGAAGATCTGAAGTTGTGCGATAATATTATTTCCAATGGTGAAAATTGATTCTTTTCCAACATGAATGGTTATACAAAATCACAGTTGTTGTTCAAAAAGGGCAGATAGTAAAGAAGTAGAAACAATAGGACAACTGTTTTAATGTTAATAAGCGGTAGTTAATTAATGGCACTTAATATTTGCTCTAGGTGATGGTAATAACCATAATTTAGTTTGAAAACTATTCGCTTTTTGTGCATTAAAACAATGAGATTATTGTCCAGTCAGTTTTTCTTTTGGTTGGTGATCTCCATAACTACTGTGTCGATTGTACATGCTATAATAAGCTTGTTAAAACACTGTAATATTGTTTATTTAAAGTCGAAGTTCGTGCTGTCATTGCACAGTCACATAGATAACCCATCCATTTATTCGATCCACTTGTGAGAGAAATAATTGGAAAATAAATTGAAACTTAATACCGATTCGGATATTTTCACGATTGCGTAATGTCTTTACCCGCTAAAAATGTTTTATGAAGTGATAAATTCCTTCTTTTTTTAAAATAGTTCCTTAGAACAATATATAAACTAATCACGTTAAATCAGACACGCTTATTACATTAGTGAACTGCAGCATCTTATGTCTCAGTCAGTTTTTTAAGGGATTAAACAACAGAATGAAATTTAGCATTGAAAATCATTCTTTTGTTAAAGGAATGGTCATGTTTCAGATGGACACGTGCATTTGAGATGGTCGCAACGATCAGTGATGAGGGTGCATTGAAATTCAGTCTTTTTTTAAAAGACAGTGCTGCTATTCACGAAAGTAATATTTATAGTGTGAATGATTCAATTGATATCAAAGCTATTATTGTGATGTTCTTTCCTGATTTAGTAAGCTTTCTTTTGATTTCGTCATTTTTTTTATAATTTCATTTAAAAAATTTTAAAATTTCAAACATTTCTTCAGTTAAGTCTTTTCTCAGTAAGCTCAGCAAGCAGATGGATTAGAATGAATAGATGATAGACAGAAAGCTGACTTTATCTATTTTCATCGAATGACTAAAACTCACCATCGCTCTGCAAGGTATAGCAATAGTGAAGGAGAGTCAAGTTGAAATCCTGGCTGTACATGCAGTAGTTTTTGACTTTAAGATTTGAAGGAAGTTTCAATATGGAAACCTTCAGGTACCAGCTTCTATTTCTTCACCAGAACCTACAATAAAAGAAAAAGAGAATATTGATGAGTTCTTCGAAAATATCAGACATGAACCCGTAAGAAATTGGGGAATTTCTACTGGAAATATTGTTGCAGTACTACGACCTTACCAAGTTTATTTTATTTCTTTAAATTATTCCTCCCCTTCTAATGTGTATTTACTGAATTATTTTTGAAATGAAATGGAAGAATTTCTTTATTTCATGGTGGTTTTAAGAATCCACTCTCTTTTTGGGTTGGTTGAAGATTTTCATAGTGATTTGCTGTTGCTGGAAGTAGAAAAGTTGTTATAGAAATAAACCATTTCTTTGGCATGAAGTTTAGCACGAGGTTTTATAAATAAGTAGTCGAAATTATATTTTACATTCATTTTGTTTGTTGCACGTTTCAATGGTTAAAAATTATTCAATCATACCTAGGAAGATGCAATACGTTTTATGATCTCACGTGAAGATCCCAATCAACAGATCGCATTTACCGTAAAAGGTGATTTTGTTGAACTGCCAACTACACCACGAATTCTCTATTCACCAATTACTGGGTCTATATCACGACAGCTCGATAGGCCGTCATTCGGTAAATGTCCTCCAGGTATCCTTGGATATTTATTTGAAAAAATACATCGAAGCTGTGTTAGCAAAGTACATGCTTTATTTTTTATTTTTTGGTTGCAACTGGACTTCTACAGCAATCGTTTCAATTCTAATGTAATGCTTGTTTAAATTTCTAGTTTTCTCCGTTCTAATTCTTATAACATTTATATTTAAGTTGATATTTCTAAAATTTCGATTGCTACAAATACTAAAGAATAAAATTCATTCTGGTTAGTATCTAGGTGAAAGGATTTGTGTTTTCAAATTATGATGTATAGAAAAAATCGTATACAAACGGAAAGTGATTGAATTATAGCTCATTTATTTAGTGACATATTTCAGTAGTATGATCAAATTGTTTCATATGACGGCTTAGCATTGCATATATTGCATATGGTGTAGTTCATACATTGTAGATTGCTTTATTTCTTAAATTTTGTTTCTAATATGGTCATGTTGGTGTTGTTTCATGTGGTATATTGGCTGACGAGATGGGGCTTGGAAAGACTCTAGAAGTTATTGGTCTAATATTAAGCCATCAGCGAGGTAAAGGACTTCCACCGATTGTTGGAGATTTGATTAGAGAAGTTGATACAGTGAAAATAATTGTCGGTGAACTTATCTCTACAGTTGTAGCTGCAACGGATGGATATTCAGCATTGCAGGATAAAGTAAGGTTATTTTTCGGGCAGAACGATAATGTTGGATATTATCCAACATATATTTCATGCCCATATTTGCATGCTTGCTAAATTTTTCTAACTTCTGTAAAGGGAAATGTAATTCTCACTGTTAATTAATTAGGGTATACTTTCTTGAGCTCAAAAGAAAATCTTTTAAATGATTTAAATATCTGAAATAGAATTGAATAAAATCAAAAGAGCTGATTCCTATGAGAATATTACGCTTCGTTAATTGGCAGGTAAATTCGAGGTATCGTCGAATGTTTTGTTATGATAATTTGGAATCCATGAATCCAAAGAGATCTAAAAGCAAAAATAACGTGCTGAAACCGCTGACCATAACTTGTACAACATGTTCCACAATTTGTTCTCAGGAACGAGTTTATTGGGATCGATTTCGTTCACATAACATTCCTTTTTATGTCCGGAATGTATTCACGATAAAGTATGTGGCAACTGTTTCAAATATTCTAAAAGTACATATCAAATATGGTTTGCATTACGAAGAATTCATAGTTTTTCTTTTTTCTTTTTTTTATAACAAGGAACTGAATATGAAGAAAGAAATCGAAATTCACTAAACTGGAAATTAGTCTCGTCGAATGTGCTATGATGATTATAGGAAAAAGTGTATCCAGTGAAAGGTACGCTTATTATCGCACCATCGACAATTTGTCATCAGTGGTATGAAGAGTTGAAGCGACATATCCGTGATGATATTAAAATTGATGTATGTTTACTTACGGCAGTCGTTCGTTTTTCCTTTCTTACCATCTTTTTGCAAAAAATTATAGTGTGACTAAATGTTTCTGAGAGCATGAAAGAGGAAAAGAATATCGAAGAATAAATTTTCATTGAATTCCATGAAAATTTATTACCTTTCACATTATCTTTTGTAATTCAAACAAGGAATGGCCTTAATTTATTTACGTCCACTTACTTTCATCGAAATTTTGCATTTATTATTATTGTCATCCATCAGTAACGTCTCAGATGTACCGAGGACTGATTAATGACGGTTACAAACATCCAGAATATCTGGCAACTCAGGATGTTGTTATCTGCTCTTTTGAGACACTCCGACAAGAAGTATATTTTGTAGAAGCTCGACCAAGATTAGGTTAATCACTGTTCATCTTTTTCCCGTTCAATTTTCGTCTATGAATAGGTAGGAATCATTATATTGCGCACTTGACATCATTATATTGCACGGTTTTTCGAAAGTGTCTTAGAAAACTTTTGAGAAGTTTTTTGGTATATATGCATGAATTTGTAAGTTTGTTTGGTTAATATCAGTTTTTGTAAATGGTGTAGAAAATAAGTTTTGCGGAGGAATAATGAAAGTTTTGCAAATACAATAACAACTGTAGCGTACCTTAGTCGATCTTGTGCAATATGAAAAAGAATGCTTATTATGCATAGGAGGGTAAAATTGAATTTAATCAATTGTCCTTTATTTTATTAGCATTAGCTGTGCTGTAAGTAAAGATTTGAATCATATTTCGTAATCTTCATTATATTGCGCACTTGACATATTTAATAATTATTTAGTCCCAAGTCTGCATAATTAATATTCGAATAGGTATTTCCAAGCGTCATTAATTTTTAGATTCTTTACGATATGGCAAAAGGCATCACATTGCTCCTACTCCATTGTTAGCTATGGAATGGTGGCGTGTAAGTTATAGCCTATATTTTATGTGATAATTATATGAAGTACTGTTTTTCAATTTTCTATGAAGCTACTCTTTCCCTCTTTGTATCTTTCATATATATCTTCTGTGACAACTGCAACTTATTTATTGCTGTTTTTTTGATGTACAAAAAATATTGTCAGTGACAAGATTCTACTACCGTTTTTTTTTTCTTCGCTCACTTTTGTATTATATATACGCTAAACAATTTAGGCAGTTATAGTCGCTGAACCATTTACTGCATTATTATTCAGATTTGTATAGATGAGGCGCAGATGGTAGAAAGTACATCAAGTTCAGTAGCATTAATGTGCGATGGTCTTAAAGCAGTAAATCGTTGGTGTATTACGGGTACACCGATCACCAATTCATTGCAAGGTATGTCTCATTGTTACCGACTTTTTGTTTCTGACTGAAAATTTTGCTTTGTTTTTTCTGAACTTGGTATTAAATGTTAATTAAAAGCTTAGCTGCAGATTTATATGGTCTTGTACGATTTTTGGGGATACAACCGTTTTGGAATGAATGTTGGTGGCGTAATGCATTGATGAAACCATATCAAAATGGTGATGGAAAACCAATTTTCGATTTATTTTCTAAAATAATGTGGAGGAATACGAAAAAAACTGTTTGTGATCAGGTGCTGGAATGAAAACTTTCTATTTCATCGTTCGTTTAATATTCCAAGAATTGAAATTATGTCCATAATTTGAATTGAAGTATTATAAGGATCATTTGCAAATAACAGTTTTAATATGTTTCAGATGCTTTCACCATCAAAAAGTAGCAATTTAACCGTTTTACGATTTACACCTATAGAGGAACAATTTTATCGTGCAACTTTATCAAACTGTCGTTTAAAAGGTTTGATTATTTCTCCTCTTGACTGGTTGCTATAAAAAAAACTGCACTCAATTTCAAAATTTCAGTAGACAGTTGTTTCAGTAGACATCCGGTTTTTCGTGCCGTGTTTTTGAGTAATTGGATTCATTAGTATTCTCTGTCTGTGGTCAGTTATAGTTTCCAGTTTTGTTTATAAGTCAAAATTTTTGGAAATGTACACTGCTTCAAACTTCTTTCGTCAAAGTTATTTTTATTAAATTTCAGTTCGTTATATGCCTTATTTGCACAATTTGAATACCCCAATTTCATCACTTCATGGGAAAGACTTTGAAAAATTAATGGAACCTTTGCAAGTGCTGCGGAAATTTATTGTTTTCCCTAGTCTTCGTTTCCAGGAGGTTAGTTTAATAAAATCCCCGGTTTCCTATTCATTTGGCTACTAAGCTAAATTTATATTTTCGTTAATAAGTTAGCTGTCTCAACGTTTTTTTTTTTTTTTTTCATTACAGTCAAAGGCCAGTGTTAATACGGAAGATAGTTTGCAAGAGGAACTGTTCCGGATCTCAACACAGCAAGCTGAAGTTCATCAAAGGAATATATTGATGTATTATTGCGGTAAGCGTTTCTGATTTCGAACTCCATGAAAATTCCAGGTTTTAAAACCTTATTCTTCCAAATCTTCTGTTGTTTTATATTTGTAGTTTGTATAATTCATGTTTCGTCTACATATTATTGCTAGCTTTGTTTCTAATAAATTTTTGAAGGCTTAGCCGGATTAGAATGGCTCTGTGAAAACGAGGCTAATGCTGCGAAATATTACAGTGGTGCGATCAGTGCAATGAAGGAACTAGATCAAATGAATAACAAACTTGGGTTGAAAGGATCAAGATGCGCTTATAGGTCATTTTATTTCAAGCACTATTAGACCATTTTCTGTTATTATCTTCTGAAATCATGTTAAACAGAATTTATAGACAATTGAGGTCGGACAGGTTACAACAAATCCATATATTTTCTGCCATCTTGGACTTGCAGAAAGGTGGTGTTGAAGTGCGAGGTATTAATCAGAATGAAGCTGAAGCTCAGGTTTGCTCATAATTCAAATTCGATAATTTAATGGATTTCATATTGGGGACCAAAATCAAGGAAAGAGATTTTTCGGATTAATTTATTATATTTTATGAATATTTCTTCATTTTCATATTTTATAGCTAAATTTGGCTTTTACGGGTTATACTGAACAAACGGTATCAAATTTGACGCAATCATATGTTGCTGTTAATGAATCTTTCCTAAAATACCAGGCCACTTTATCGAAGGTAATTCTCTTCAAATAATAAAAGATGTTATCGTTTTTCAGTAATTTGATATATTACAGATATTCGGGGAAAGTATATGAAAAAAAAGGATTTCAGAATCCTAGCCATTTGATATCCACCAATGAAAGAAGCACATAGTGCCGCTAATGATGATCTCTTTTTTTCCCTTCCTTATTCTAAACAAAATCTTATTAATTTTCAAATTCCGGATTTGCGCAACTGATTGGCGGGGTCTCAAAAGGTTTGGTCGGGTATCTGATAGGTCATGTTATCCGTTATCATCTACCTGTTTTGTGTGATTTTATTTCTTCCTACAGTTCTTAATATATTACTGATTTAGTGATTTAGATAATTTGGTTAAGGTGAAATCAAGTATTGGATGGTTATGTGAAGCAATCAGCTTAGTGAACAGTGCTGGACAGCAACATCTTTTCATTGATGCCATTCGAACGGCGATCGAGAACAACGGGATGCCGAATATTCCGTATGATGTATTTTCTTCCACTTTGAAAAATATATATGTTCTGTTTAACCTTCTTTGCATCTAAAATTTGGTTAATTTTCATCAGTTTTGTTAGCAATTGGTAGCAAAATTTTTCAGGGCATCAAATTTACTGGGCTTAAATTTGTACGTAGTAAGGCGGTGGGATGAACTGATCGAGTGTGCTCAGAAGGTGCTCTCGGAAACGAAAAAAATTGCGAAGAATAATATTATGGAGAAGAAATGGACTGTCATTTTGGAAGCTATCATTACATGTCATTTTTCACCGAGTGATGGCAAATCATCGAAGAAGTAAGTGTTTCTGTCTATCATATCGTTATTGTTGAAAACAAAATTTGATTTCAATTGATTTGAATCACATAAATACTTGTTGCATAAAATTTGATTAAATTTATAACAAACGATACAGTTTTATTTCTTCATCACTTGGGCGCTCATTCTATTTTTTGGATATTGAAAAGATCTTCTATTTGCAAGGCATTTGTTTTTCTTATTAATAAGATGGAAAAGAACAGACTGCAGTGATAATGTTGCGGAATGATTTGAATAGTTCTTCTAAGATATGCTGCTATTTTTACAGATTTTGAGTTGAGTCATTTTAATTCCATTCATACGTTACGTGGTTATGGAGTTAATTTTATTAGTCATTAAAAAACCTGGAATAGAGGGATGGATTTCATTATCTTTGTTTTGCAGCTGCTCGCTATGTATGTGTAATAAACAAATCAGTCAATTGGAATCCCTTCTCTTCATTAGAGGTTCAAAAACTCTGTAAGTTCTGTTTTTTCTTACTGTAGATTATTTTTTCACAGGTTTAAGTTTTGTTGTATTTTATTACTCCAGCCTGTGTATTTTCCATGACCAGATGATTGGTGTGCTTTATCATTTCGAAGATGAAATTTAAGATTAGATTTGGTTCAGTTTAGATCAGGTCAATTAAGTTTATATTAGGTTCATTGAAGTTCATGACAGTGGATAGTATTTGGAATCTGGACTTCTTTATTGAAATTGTGGAAGGAATTTGTGGCTTGAATCATTGGAGATGGAAAAATATTTAAAGATTGCTGAAAAAATTGAAATTGCAGCAAGGGTCAGGATGTTGATGAAGCAGGTACAGCTGGAGAGCAAAAAATTTCAAGCCTCGAAATAATCATTCGAGCTTTCTTGGGAACATTTGTCAGAATGCAAAAGGGAGTGCAGTGTGATCTGGTTGGATTGGGCAAGGAAACAGTTGCTCAGTTGGAGGAGTTAAAGACTTTGCTGGCTCTTTCAAAACGACTTTATGCTTCGGCCAATGAATACGCTGCTAAAATGTTTTGTCAATTTTCTCAATTTTAATTTTGAATCCTTCTGCTTTAGAGACACATTGCCTAATGAAAAAACAAAGAAACAAAAGCTAATTGTAACGACTTATTAGCTGCATTCAAAGGCTTCCGAACGATGTACTGATGATAGCTTGAATATATTCTGGGCGTGGTTATTAACTGTCTATTTCGGAGATGAAGCTGAAAATGCTAACGTTAAATCGTTATGAAAACTTTACTAGATTCCAAAACTATGGTTCGAAACACTTAAATATCGGGTAAACAATGCTTTTTGTCCGTGCGAATGAGGTAGGATAAATTTATCAAGAATTAGTCGTCTATTTTATTTTTGAAAAATTTTTAAAAATCAAATTAAACAACATAAGAAATCTCATAGCAGTGGTGAATTTGTTGTTGTTGTAATGCGAAGAAATAATGCAGCAGCAGATATAAGGGAGCGAAACGACAAATTAACCTACTTGTCAAGGCTTCGAAAAAGTGCAAAGATAGCGTATGTTAACCGGCGAAAGTTAGTTGTCTGAATTGCCACAGAAGTTGAATGAACTTGCTGTTGCAAGTTTCTCGCATTACAAGAAGTTTATCATTGTCATGTTATTATTTGACATTGCTTATTGCTACTTTCTTTCCATTTTACAACTTTTTCCAAATTAAAATTGGAAGCAAATCTACAGGAAATTACCACTCATTCTTGGCACGGAAAGCCGTAAAGTCTGATCAATAAGTGTTTTGAACCGTGATTTTGAAAAAAAAGGCCTTGCTCTTCATCGTCCTGATCCAGAATATCAATCGTTGAAGTGGCTATATTTATTCTTAAATAGACAACAAAGAAAAAGGATTAGATAATACGGAAGGTGGAAGAAATAAAAATAAAAATAGCAAAGAAGGACAAGATAAATATCCTTATTATCATTTTTTCATTAGGTAAGACAAATCCAAGGATCCCAGGAATTATTGAAGTATTTTTTCTTATTCCAAGAATTATTGAAAGTATTTTTTCTTATATATTTTCTTTCTTATATTTATACGTTTTTCAGTGATGAGGTTCGCCAATGTAAGCTTCGTCTGCAATATGCAACAATGGATGAAATAACAAAATATGGTTTACGTTTGCCCATCAATTTAATCATTCGAGGAACAGAAAACAATAAGGTTCTTTTTTCTTTTTGGAATACTTGTTAAATTTTCTATTTTCTTACTGGTAACAATAAATCTTAGAATTTTCACAATATCAGTAGTTTTTTATTGGAACTGTGTAAATTTCGTCATAGCTGCCAACCTATTTTCTTTCCCTCTTTTTATTCTTCCATATAAAAGCATGATTTTCAGCGTCAAACCGATTTGAATGCGTTAGAATTGGAGAAGCTGAAGCAATCTCGTTGTTTTGCAAAATTACGTTATTTGTCAAATTTGCGTTCCCAGCAAACGCACGATTGTCCAATATGCTTAACAACTGTGAGGAATGCGTGGATTGTCTATCCTTGTGCTCATTGCGTTTGCGTATCATGTTTCAATCGACTTACTAGACGGTAATCTACATCTACTTTAAGGATTTTACTTCAGTTCATTACGTAATTCCTTTATTCTTCATCTCTTCAAAGTCTTTACGCGACATACTTATAGTAGTTGAGCTTTTTTAATTTGTTTCTTTATAATTATAGAATTCACTGTTACAAGATGCCATTTTTGGTTCCGTATCAAATGATGATATTGTCATTCATACAAAGTGTTTCGCGTCGTTACAAAAAGGAAGATAGGGTTTTTAGCATTTTATTGAACGCATATGATAACTTATATAATTTAATGAGTTCTGTCATTGCACAGCATGCATATTGTATAGTGTCAAAGCTTATTAACTGTTTTAATTATTTGGTAACTTTTCTTTGTTTTTTAGTAATGGAGCAATTCTTAGAAATGATGGACTACTCGTATGTGTCGTGTGCCGAGCCACAACTTATATAAGTCAAATTTCATATGTCCAAAGTAAGGCATCAGAAAAGTGCACCCATTTGTTGGATGTACCAAATGTGCAGTTGAAAAGGAGTGTTTCTGTCAAGGTCAAACTTTTATTTTCTAAGCCAGGATTGTCCGCGGAGTTGAATCATAGATCAGACTGAAATACATTTAGGGATTTAATCTGCGCTTTGCATTTGCATTGTTTTAAGTGCACTTTCAGTGCTTCAATATTTGAATATTCGAAATGTCATTTGATAAGTAGGATAAAAAACAGTAATCAATATTATTAGTAAATTCTAAGCTATTCAACAAATCTCCACTAACTCCTCATACCTTTCTGCTGGTTTTTACCTCGTTTTTGAATTACATACCATTTTGTTTCAATGCATATGTTTAAATAATGAACATATAAAGTTGACGATAAAAATAAACATACTTCATTAATATACATACGTTCTATAATAATATTTAATAGCTTGCTGTTCAAATTCACAGTATTAATAATGATTAAAAATTTCAGGTTGATGCTATAATACGACGTATTAAATCCATTCGCCTGCGTGACCCAACATCGAAGACTTTGTTGTTTACATCTCTTTCAATGCTTATCAATCCTCTTTGTTCTGTGTTATCCGAAAATAACATCAATTTTCGGAACTTCTTGAGGACAAATCGACAAAAAATTCTTGCTGATTTTCGATTAAAACCTGAAATTGAAGCAAGCTGTTTACTTTTACTCTCCTTTAATTGTTTTATTGAGTATCCAAGGAAGTTGTACGAAAATTTTTTATATGATCTAAAAGTTCTATCTAAGAATTTAGATACAATTAATTAATAATTTCTTCATTTGCTAATTATTGTGTCTCTGTTATATTTTTTCATTCAGTATGAGGAATTTGCTTTATAGTTACTTGTTATGCCAATGAGTTCGGGCGCACGTGGTTTGAATCTTACCGCTGCCAATAATATAATATTTGTGGAGCCACAGATGGATATTTCTCAAATTGCCCAAGTAAGATGTTGAATGTTGCTCCAAAATTTGAAGTGTAAAAAACTAGGAGTTTGATGGTTTCGTCAAAGAGTTCGTGATTTTGATTGTACGTCAATTGACCGGTCACTTATCAGATTCCAAAAGTATATACATATATATATGCATATATGTATATGTATATACATAATTCTAATAGTATTATTGTTCATTTTATGCATTATACATTGATTATTTTTAAGAAATTTTTTTTTACTTTTGGAAAACTTTGAAATGATTTGTAGGCGATAGGTCGAATTGATCGGATCGGTCAAAAAAAGGCAATGATGGTACATCACTTTGTAGTTTATGGTTCCATCGAGGAACAAATCTATTACAAGTATTCTCAAGATCAGGATAAAGATTGGACTGTGCAGAGCATTGTGCATCTTCTTGGTCTGTTAAATTTTTTTGCACAGTACCTTGCCATGCCGTCTTTTTACCGTTAACAGACATGTGCTATTAATTAATTGGTTATGATAAGACTGTTGCTACTCATATCTTAATGAATGCACCTTACATTTTGGTTATGGAATAATTGGAGAAAACTAGGTTTTCATCCTGAATATTAACTTCCTTTTTATCCTGGATATTAAACTTTTTTCTTCCTGAATATTAACATTTCTTCAAAGCAAAAAGTTATCTTAACTAGATTTAGAATTCAGATTTCAATTTGCAGGTTTAATGGGTAATAATGAAGAACTAATGTGCGAAGAATAATTTCTGTGAGGAATAATTTTCGGTTCAAAGCAGGATTGTGATATTCCATTGTTCTCTTCAACTTCAGGATCTCTTTTGTATTTTAATTTTACTTTGTTAATTTGTTCATTTAGTAGAAAGAAAATGTTGAGCTTGAAAGGATTGATTTTTGTTTTTTTTCTTTTTTATGGCTTAGCACAAGAATGACGCGCTATTGTTTTAGATGCTTTTTTTTTCACAAAATGTATAGCGCACATGCACTTGTATGCGTTACTTTTTCAAAACTGTAAAGGAAGCTTTACGTTGTCGAGCTAAATTGTATGAAATACTATACGAGCTTTTAATATTACTCTGTGATAAAGATAGTGAAGATTTCAACTGCTTAAATTTCCAGAAACAACATTTGTTTGGACACCACATCCACTGATGCTGTTAGGTATGGTTTGGTAGGTTTTTTTGTTTTTTCTTTTTTGTACTTGTGACGAGTCAAATATTCAATAGTAAGGGAAGTGGAATGGTAGATGAAGTTTACTCAAGTTAACTAGGTAAAGTAAGCTTCATTCTCCAATTAATCACCAACGAAGGGAGTGGATTAGACTGGTGATGAATACATGAAAACTGCATTATGAACTAAACAATATACTAATGAAAACTGTAAAAGCCAGAATTTCGAGGGCATTTCCCTGAAATAAATTGTTAAAAGATATGAAAAGTTTTCTTTAGGAATATAGTGACACAAATCGTCTAATTATTTTATACACTTAGGTAAATAGTACATATGAGCACGTAAATTGGCCTAGCTATAAGCTTCTAAAAATGATCAGAATGTGAATTTCAACAATTTCACGTCAGGGAATCGTTACATTACAGTTATTCCTCAATTTTGGTATGTGATGTTACCATATTGATTCGTTCTCTTTTTTTTTATTGAAATGAATGCATAAATTTTTAATAGCAAATATGAACAGAATATTGATTACATTAAGGAAATTTGCATAATAATTTAGATAAGAAGCAGAACTTAGTATCATATTTGTCACATTTTATAATAAATTTCAATGTTTTCTGATCAAGAAATCCAAAGTTCTGCGTATTTTTGGTTATATTTCAAACCTAACCACTAATTCCGGGATGTTATTAACAATGTAGCAATAAAATAATTATCTAAACATATTTGTCTTTAGAAATATATAAAACAAATAATAGGAGGAAGTAATGTATTGTGGAATTTTCTAAATTTCGAATAATATTTCTGGATTGCGAATAACATAAAATAATTATTGTTGCATTAATAATTTCTGCTATTATGCATCAATTCCGATGCATTATTAATTTTTTAATTGATGTGCTACAAATTCACATAAATTAATACATCAAGCAAAGAACTTGACATAATAATTGGAGAATGTTATTTCTTCAGAGAATGCTATTTATTCAGAAAGTATAACTCATATATTTTTTGTTTTATTTGAAAAAAAAAGGAAAGTCACGATGAAGCTTAATAATAATGATAATAATAAAATCTTTGGTAACAGGTAGAAAAATTAGTAAAATTAGTAATAATAGAAGAAGTGAAATCGAAATGATAACTTTCCAGAGTGATTAGTCATCATTATGTAATAATATATGTGTGGCTTTACTATGATTTTTAAAAATTAGCCAAACAAAAACAAAAGAAGAAGTTCCTTTTATTTTGTTTTTCCTTTGTCTCTCCTAAAATTTTTGCATC